TGTTTGCCAGTTTTGGGTTCTCTAGCCAATCTGAGGTTTGCTGAGTCAAACTGAGTTTTTGTCAACCTGAGTCTTAACATTGTTTTCTGTCTTTGCCTCTCGGCAGGAAGTCATCCTGCAAACTGGGTTTTTCTGACCTTCTCTCCCTGGAAGGATCAACTGAGCTTCAAACTGAGCTGAGGATACAAACCGGAGGTTTGGATCCACTTTTCCCTGAGGAAAAGTTTGAGCTTCACACTGAGCAAGGGATTCATCTGCACAACAGTCCGTTCACGTACCGCAGGAACTCTGAGTGGCAGTCAGTCTTTCTCCGTTCTTCTACAAACAACCGCATTCTGGGTAACCCTGTCAGCCCTCCTCCGTATGAGACAAACACCGGAACACATTCCTGACCTGCTGTGGAGTCTAAGAGTAAACCTAATCTCTGGAAACGTGAGACAGCCAACCTTTTCCCCTCTTCAGGTTCGAGAATCAATTCTCCCACTGAACCTGAACTAACCGCAGTGTCTTCTCCTCACCTTTCAGTTCTGGGTGAGCAACACTGGAACCACCACAAAACTTCTTAATAAACCTGTTAAACTTTTCCCTGGTCTCTCTGGACTGGTTTATCTGCATGTGGGTCCGAGCTCTTGATAAAATCATGACAGACATCATGAAATGTACTGATGGAATTTATTAACAGTCATATAAAATAGCAATTACAAACTTAAACTGTCGAGCAGATTGTACATTTATTTAAATATGTTACTCACTAAATAAGGGTTCATGTTTGTTGGATACCATTTAAGATTACGATATTTAGTTGACTCTGTCCACTATAGCAGCTACATGCTCTAAATAAGACCTTTAGTATGTTTGAAAGGTGCATCAGCTTTCATTAGTTTTATGCAACCGTCAACTCATTACACATTAACAGCTCATTCAAACTAAATCAAAAGAAGCTTAAAAAGCGTTTAATAGGCAACATTATTCACTCTGTCACTCCCACTTCGTCATGTGCTTCTCTTTCCTGCCACACTTCCTCCAGTTTCTCCTCGTTTGCCTTCTCCACCTCCTCGTCCAGTTTCTTCTCCACAGAATGATCAGAATAGAGGCAGGAGGTGTTTCCATCTTTCCATGTCACCACAATGTCCCCCGCCTTGATCTCGGATGTGTCCCTTTCAGACATGGGTGAGCTGTGACCCTGGGGCAGCGGAGATGTGCCGTTATCCCGAAGGGCAGAGATGATTTCAAGCTCTTCGCCTTCATTTTTCTGGAGAAGGGATGCAGCTGCTTTGTATTTAGCTATCTCCTTCCTGCTCCTGTTGAAGATAAAACTGCATATCGATAAAATGACACTTAAAGCTATTTTTATTTGTTTGTGGCATAAGATGTGTAATTTCATACTTGTTGGCAACGGTTCCCATTCCAAGCAGCATAAACCCTACGAGCAAGCAGACAAAGGCCAGCCCCAGCAACACATAGGTCCAAATCGCCGCTGCAAGAGTGAAAAGGAAGTACTGCTTTAATTTAATTGGCTCATTTACATGGTCAATGTACTGTCACAAACTGAACTGACTACAAAGTACAGCTATCACACAGGATTAGATTATATAAATAATTTAGAAATATGGTTGGACCACAGTAAATTTATAAAAACCTTCTTAGGTAAAAATCATGGCAGTCTCTTTGTAGTGTAGGTTTTTCCCTCCTGTCTTCTTTTTCCTGCACCCTGAAAATGCTCAATAGATCAGGAGGATCTTAAGATGGTCCAGATACAGATTTCACCAATTCGGTTTTACTAGAAAACTAATTTATCTAAAGTAATTCTCTATTAGCAGGTGAAGCACATGCTGCCAGAAACTGGTTTCATTTAGGAGAAAGCTTTTAGTGATCAACAGTTTAGGTTCATAGTCATAGCCATGTAACAGGGCTCTGAGTTCATCATAGGAATATTTCTGAATTACGCAATGTTCCATTTCTTTTATGTGATTTTGGATGTCAGAATTTTAAAGTACCAAAAGAATCAAATCAATCCAAATCACCAGAATCCCCTCTGACACTAAATGTCATGATCTGCCCCAATAGCTGTCCTTAACTGTTCACTTCATTCACCTGCCTAACTCTGCCCAGTTCCTAATCATTCCTCTTCTTCTCCACCTGTTTCTGTATCTTTATATTAGGCTCAGCTCAGCTATGGCAGCCAGATCACTTTTTGTCAAGATTTTTGCTCTAAATTGCCCTTTATTTCAGAGGAAGTGATGTGTAAATTGAGAGCCAAATGTCAATGATTGTTGTGTCACGTGTCATGGTGAATAAATACAGGTGGGTTGCTCAGAAAGAATCTGCAAGTACTGTGTGATGGTTTTATCTTTCTCTGCTGAAAATGAATCCTGCTGAGGAACTGGTCTAACTGCTGCAAAGTCAAATCTGCTAACATGGTTTTTTAGTTTTGTTTCGTTAGTTTTTAGCTATTCTATAGTTCCTGTCCCTGTCCCAGGGGACCAGTGAGAGGTTTTAGTGTTTGTCAGGTCTCCTGATCATGCCCTGGCTCCCAGGTGGGAGTACAGTTTTAGGTCCTGTAATCCTGGCTCCCAGGTGGGAGTACAGTCTGAGGTAGTCATGGAATCTGAACCGGGTTTAGATGCTTTGATCCAGTTGAACTTTCAGAGTTAGCAAAACTATTGTCTTCATCTAAGCCTTCAACTTGGATGTTAGATCCAGTTCCAACCAGGTTATTTAAGGAGGTATTCCCTTTGATCTCCTCCTCCATTCTAGATGTGATTAATCTATCTCTGTTACAGGGATATGTACCAAAGGCTTTTAAGGTTGCTGGAATTAAACCTTTGCTTAAGAAACCGTCTCTTGACCCAGGATTACATTATCTTTTGTTCAGGAGCTCTGCCAACCCAACTCCTTTGGCTTTGCTGGCGTTCTTTAAATATCTGTTCTCTCATACGGTTATAAAGCCCTACAGAGAGTTGGGGATATGATTCTGGAGCCGTGTTTTATTGGGCAGAACAACTTCAGCTGCTGCTGGAGTGTTGGAGTATAAAACAGGCTTTATGTATTTCTAACAAACCTTATAAAGTGTATTGATTACAGTCAATGTTGGGTTTTTATGTTTTTATATGCAACTGATTTAACTTTTTTAACTAAAATGAATTCTGTTAAAGGTTATCTTTGTAAAAAATAGTATTAGTTGGGAATGGCTATTTAATGTCTAAATGTTAGAAGCCCCGTCATTTCTCATTATATTAACACTGTGACGGATTGTGGTTCTTTATGTTTTTATTTTTAAGCATGCTCTTTCTTCTGTCTTTCTTCTTTGTGTTTTTTTTTTTTTTAAATCAAAATGAGGTATAAACATTCCTTAAATGTTTTATTTAATTAGAAAACATTGTACGTAATTGATTTCTTTGTTTTGATTTGTTTATCTTGCTGCTAAATTAAAGATAGTTTATATACCTCTGGTAATATTTATCTGCTTTGTTTTATTTAAAAAACACATTTCATTCACACCTGTGTTTTACTTGTGTTTTAATGGAACTTTAAAATAAAAAGTAATTCACATTTAATTGTGTGAAATATTTATCAATATTTTATACCGTGTCAAATAGCACCAACAGTCTTATATCTTTTCTGTTTAGTGTTGTAGTTTTCTTGGTGTTTATGGCTGGAGAGGAAACTGCATGAATCTGAAACTGTCTGCAGCTCGCCGTGTTATTCCATGTTACAGTACTTACGCTCCTCTGTGCGGTAGAACCAGCGTAAATATTCCTTTTGCTTTTCCGTCATGCCTTGCACCTGATTTTGTGGCTCCTCTGAATCCTCCAGCTGCTCCTGGTCGTCATCCGCTCTCCTGAATCCTGAAGAGAAATCCACAGAAAGTTTTATTAATCACTGGTTGGAAACAAAACAACACTCAGACACAATTACTTTATGAAATATACATCAAATTATTCAGGACTAGTATTCAATTCAATTCTATTCAGTTTATTTCTATAGCTCCAATTCCCATCATGTCATCTCAGGTCACTTTCCAGTTCACCAGATCATCCAGTCATTGATTCAAAGTTTTCTATCTAAGGAAAACCAGCTGATTGCATCGACTCATTGACTCTTCAGCAATCCCTCACACTAAGCATGCTTGTAGCGACAGTGGAGAGGAAAAACTCCCTTTGAACAGGAAGAAACCTCCAGCAGAACCAGGCTCAGTGTGAGCGGCCATCTGCTGAGGCCCACTGGGGTTCAAGGAGACAGAAGGAGACATTTACTGTATTATTTTGGAAATAGATTTTTCTTTCCAAACTAAACACTGCCATCATTCATAGAGAAATATTATATTTACTGTTTTATTTACAGTTGCAATAAACAACAGGGTGTCTTCAGTCAACCAAAGATCCTTCCTACCTACGTATATCTACGTTTGCAACAGTTCATTGAAGAAAGGAGAGAGGAGTTATGTTTAGACTTAGACTCAGTTTTATTAATCCCTTGGGATTACTCCTTCAGGGAAATTCTGGTTCCAGTAGCTTATATAGAGCACAAAGAGTTTAAGCAAGATGCCATTAAAGATAAAAATATGACAGACAATATAAAAAATTTAAATCTAAATAAGTAATTTTTCCTTAAAATAAGCACATTTTTTCTTGGATTGAGGAGGTAAGTGAGACACTTTGCCAACGGAACAAGACAATTACATTTAGAATAAGAAAAGAACAATTGCATCGTCTCATTGCAACTGCATATTAGCTAATTATCTTATTTTAAGAGTAAAAATACTCATTCCATTGGCAAATCATCTTATTTACCTGCTCAAATTAAGGCTAAAAACACTTCATTTAACACATTTGTTCCTAATTTCTTGATCGTTTTTACAGTGTAGTACAAAAAAACATTAAAAAAAGAAAAAAGTTGTAATGTCCTGGAAAATGTTTCCCTTTGATATAAAAATATCTCCACAGTGGAGAGCAAACCTGATCAAACAGCCACTTTAATTTAAACCTCTGGTTTTGTAAATTATGACAAAGAGAGAGTAGAAATCCTCCCATTTTAAACAGGAACTAAACCTCAAATCAACTATTTTTTGAAGATCAATTGTATATATTTGGCCTTGATAGTCGTACCTTTATATATATATATATATATATATATATATATATATATATATATATATATATATTTATTTATAACTGTCCAGATTTGAGTGAACATTGAATTCTGCAGTAAACAGTGTTGATGCTGCCCTCTGTGGGTTAAAGAGCAGCAGTGGAATTTTCCTATTGGTTTAGGAAACATGTACCTAACTGATGAAGGAACACAGGAAGTTCTATGTCCCTCGGTGTCCATGCTGCCTTCTGCCGTTGGCAGCAAAGTTTAAAAAGTTGTAGTAATGACCTTTAACTTGCTGTTTGCTTCTTGCAGCACTTTTACACGTTTGTCTGTTAGCATTATTTTTGAGTTTGCAGTATTTTATTTATTTTTTGCATGTCTAAGCCTTTACAATGTGTTTGCACCGTTCAGCAAACAGGTTTAATTACAGCTAATGAATGAATTACTTTGGTTATGCTCAGCATGAATTTAAATATAGAAGTGACTAATTTTACGTGTTAGAAAGTAGCTAACTCCTGCATTTGGAAGAAAAACGACTGGAATCTGCATTTTTTTGTGCACAAAATTTTAAACACAAAATTTTTTTTCCCATTGACTTCCTTACGCTGAATTTTTATCGGGTGAAAATTCAGCTGCAAAAATTTCGACTGCAAAAAGTTGAACTGTAAATATGTTGACCTTTTGGTGAACTCAAGCCAAAGCAATCTACACTCCATGCAGATCAGCAGCTTCTAGCCAATGAAATGAGCTCATTTGGTTAGAAAAAAGAGAAAAGTTTGCGGATTAAACGGAGAGCCGTGGTAGACGGCGGTGCTGCACCAGCTGGCTCACTTATTTCAGCCATTAGATGAAAAACTCTAATGGCTGCATATTAGTAGCTGCCTGACATTTTGTTAACAAACTTCATTCAGCCAGGAACAAAGCTATGCCCAGCTGTTGTGTCACGTGACCAAATGAGCTCATTTCATTGGCTAGAAGCTCCTCGACTACTTTGAGTGTAGATTGCTTCGGCTTAGATTCCCCAGAAGGTCAACACATTTGTAGGGAATTTTTTTTGCGGGCAAATTTTTTGCATCAGAATTTTTTGCAACTGAATTTTCACCAGATAAAAATTCAGTGTAAGGAATTCAATGTGTAAAAAAATTGTTAAAATTTAAAATTCTTTGTTAAAAAAGGCAGATTCCAATGAGACTGTCTTTCTTTCACACATGCACGGCTATTTTATTTTTTAAAGAGAAGATAGCAAATACCGGTAGATACCTTACTGAGCTCTGCTTTTATTTAGAGGACATTCAGAAACTTACTGATCTTTGCTGTGCAGATGTTTCTCTCATCAATAGACTTCCACTCAAAATAAGGGAAGTGCTTTGAAAGAAGGACACGCTGTCCGTCGGTGGACAGCGGTAAGGACGTATTTCTGCTGATGAGTTTGTTGTTGCTGCAGTCCCACATGGGTTCTGGAGCTTCCACGTCTCGCTCCGGGCAGGACTGGGTTTGGACCGGATCATCCTGTTGAGCCGACAGACACCTGGATGATTCGACGCACATCAGTACGCCCTGGCTGATCCACACCCACTGTTGAGCCAGTGAGTCAAGGTCACACTTCTTCAAGATGACTTGACTGGTGTTGGCCGAGTCCTCCAAACACAGGCCGAACTGCGTGTTATGGAGCATGAACATCTGTCCCCCTGCAGAGGTCCAAAGGCATTAAAATCATAGATGCTAATTCAAACAGCCAGTTATTTATATGTTTTATAAAGGATTAATCTACCCGGGACTAGGAGAAGCAGGAAGATCCACGATTCAAGCATATCTGAAATGAAAAAAAAAAGAAATGTTAGAACTTCCTCCAAAAATAGAGAACCAATTAAACAAACCTTTACAGCGTTAGATTCACACAGTCTGTTCCTGTGGTTTATTATGTAACAGAGGACGGATGAGGCAACCTTCCCTCCTACAACTACCATGAAATATTTCAGTCGTAACTGAGACTTCATCTATATCTCCATCTCAAGAGTTATTCTCTGATTTTTTATGATATTTGATCAAGATAGTCACTGAATGAGGATCAGTAAAGATCATTATCTGCTTTTTAAGCACAGTCACTAACCATCATTTCTGCTTATCGACACTAAGGTCACAGTTTTATTTCCATATAAAACTGTGATGTTAAACATTTATTTTAACAGGTCCTGTGGTTGCCGATGAGTGATAAAAAAGATCATGAATTTTTATTTACTAACCAATAAATGTATCCTCTGTGGAGGACATTTATAAGCCTGAATATCTCCTATCCTCTCGATGTTACTCAGGTAAATCCTTTTGGGATCTACAGAGGACATTTAGGGCTTTTCAACGATACCAAATGTGAAGAGGTCGGCCTTCGTACATTTCTCTTCCTCGCCCAGAAAGATGGCCTCCATCAGTTCAAGCACATTTTATGGGAACAGGAAAAGTTAGTGAAAATATATATTTCTTAGCAAATTTAGCCTTAAAAGGTTGTTAAGTTAGGGTTAGGTTGACAAGTGTCTTAACAACATATGAAACATATTTTGAATTATTTTAACTGTCTTTTATGATAATATTTCATTGTTTAAAAAAACTTCCTCCATAGTGGACATTTGTAGTTATTTCCAACATCTTTTGTGTTTCTTTTCAAATGACAAGAAAAGGAGTCATTCTGAGAAGCAGATTGTAGATTAAACCTCAGATGAAGGAGATCAAGATCCAATGTTTGAAGGAGAATCAGAGGAAGATGATTCAGAGAGTTCTGAGGAGGAAATTCAGAACAAAGAAACTTTCCCTGAATCTCCCCAACTTTCTGTAATAAAGTGATTAGACAACAAGCCAGTTGTTATGGCAACCTCTGCCTTTGGCATTAGATCTCTGGAGACACGCAGAAGATGGTCCAAGAAGGAAAAGGCGTTTGTCCAGGTGTCAGTTCCTCCGGCAGTTGTTCAGAACAACAGAAACATGGATGGTGTGGAATTGGTTGGTGGAATGTGGAGTTTCTACAGTGTGGCATCTCACAGTTGGAAATGGACAGCAATGCAGTTTTCCACTTTATGTCCTGATGATCACTAATTCATGGCTTCGGTGTTGGAGTACCCCGGTTCCTCCATCAGTCCAAAAACATCACTGCTAGGTTAGCTGGCTTCTCTAAATCCTCCTCAGGTGTGAATAGTTGTTTCTCTCTGTTCTGCCCTGAGATGGACTGGAGACCCGTCCAGGGTGGACCCCCCCTCTGTCCAGGGTGGACCCCCCCTCTGTCCAGGGTGGACCCCCCCTCTCTGTCCAGGGTGGACCCCTCCCCTCTGTCCAGGGTGGACCCCTCCCCTCTCTGTCCAGGGTGGACCCCCCCTCCCCTCTGTCCAGGGTG